TCCTTTACCTAACACTCCCCCCTCTTCCATTGTAGGGATGGAGCGAGTGTCGCTGGGGGCGGTGCCTCTGGTGAAAGCCTGGAGGGAGAGCAGTCTGGACCCGGCACCCATGAAAGGCAAGGTGAGTCCAGGTGACATTGTGTCCTCTGCGGGTGCGACGCGGCGTATGTGTGAGACATTGTCCGCTCCTCGGCCCGCACGGTGCGACCTGGAAGTCCTTCCCCCCTGCGCAGAGGTCTATGTGAAGATTCACCCGCGGAGAAAATCAACTCCTGAGACAAGTGAATGACGCAATCCATCAGAAATGTCACTTTCCTCCCCCACAATCCCCCAGAGCTCCTCCCCCACAATGGATCCCTCCTACATTGTATCCGGGGGCGGGGCTCCTCCCCACAATGGATCCCTCCTACAATGTATCCAGGGGCCGGGGCTCCTCCCCCACAATGGATCCCTCCTACATTGTATCCGGGGGCGGGGCTCCTCCCCACAATGGATTCCTCCAAATTGTATCCGGGGGTCGGGGCTCCTCCCCCACAATGGATCCCTCCTACATTGTATCCAGGGGCCGGGGCTCCTCCCCCACAATGGATCCCTCCTACAATGTATCCAGGGCCGGGGCTCCTCCCCACAATGGATTCCTCCAAATTGTATCCGGGGCCGGGTCTCCTCCCCCACAATGGATCCCTCCTACATTGTATCTGGGGGCGGGGCTCCTCCCCCACAATGGATCCCTCCTACAATGTATCCAGGGCCGGGGCTCCTCCCCACAATGGATTCCTCCAAATTGTATCCGGGGGCCGGGGCTCCTCCCCCACAATGGATCCCTCCTACAATGTATCCAGGGGCCTGGGCTCCTCCCCCACAATGGATCCCTCCTACATTGTATCCGGGGGCGGGGCTCCCCCCCACAATGGATTCCTCCAAATTGTATCCAGGGCCGGGTCTCCTCCCCCACAATGGATCCCTCCTACATTGTATCCGGGGTCAGAGCTCCTCCCCCACAATGGATCCCTCCTGTAATCATCTCCCATCCCGCACAATATCGCATCGGATTCATTTGTATCCGGGGAGATGATAGATTCTGTGTGACCCCCCCCGGTGACACCACGCCCCCCGGGGCCCCCGGTATATTGGGGTGCTGCACTATTGGACACTTGCTCTGGTCGGCCATCATCTGATATCAGATCACCTTCCTGTGGAACCACTACACCCAGCGGGCTGTATGGGGGGGGAGGGGCACACCTCGGAGGTGGACCCCAATTCTGGCCCATATGGTCCCCTGTAGGGATGGGGGGAGGGCGGTGAGACGTTCTGGGTGACGGCGGGAGGCGGAGATTCTAGTCCAGTGCGATAGTCTGCAGGAGGAGGCGGATCTGTGGCCCCGGAATGTCCCACATGCAAGGATTGCCAGGAAAGGTTTATCGCGGTGTCGGGTTTATGCCGGGAGGCTCCGGAGTCGCTGAGCTGGTAATGGCCTGGCACAGTGTCAGTCATTGTGTGTGTGGCCCCGGGGCCCGAGCTGCATGTGAGGTCGTGTCTGGCTGGACAGGAATGTTCTGTACTTTGCCTGTGTGCATTCAGAGTATGATCAGACCTCCCACCCCCAGACCTCTG